TTGTGCTCATCATGAAATTTGGTGCTGAGGAGAAGTCAGCAGCTCAAAGCACTCATCTTCCGGTTCAGGTCCGAGTAACGACAATCGTAGTGCCGGGTATTTTTTATTTAGGCAGCGTTCTAGCTGCTGCGTTCATGGCTGACAACTTCCCCTCAGCGGTATGTTTCACGGCGAGCACCTCCCCTTCTCACGAACTTCGACCCTATTTCCGGTTCCTAACTCCAGTCGGGGTCTCACTTCCTTTCCACTCAGTAATCCCACCTTTTCGTCTGCATTGTGACCCTCACCGCCTGAAAGGCCACCCGCACCTCCGCGCCTTCCAACCCCTACCCGTCACCCCGCACTCGAATCATCGCATGTGGGACTCCGGTCAAAAAAATGTCGAAGTTGAGTTTTAGTAATTGCCCGCAAGCGGAGGAGCTACTAAAATTCGGCTTGTCAAATAGGAGGGCTTGCAGTTACTTTAGTTAAAGGTAGAAACTGCACCAGGGGATGAGGATTATGGCGAAGGAGGCTGCATAGGCTTATGATGCTCAGCAAAGAATTAGATGCTAAAAGAAATTTAGCAAGCTTCTTCTCGCACTCCAAAACCTCTACACAACGATTACAATGTGTTGCCTTCGGCAATTGGAGGGGGGGAGAAATTCCCGCATTTATGACAATCAGACATGGATAAAGCTGAGGACCAGTAAAATGCGTTTTTATGCGTTTTATGCTGCAACAGTTGCAGAAGACGCATGCTGTCGAGACCTCTGTATGAGTGTGTGTGCTCCGAGTGCATTTTATCCGGACGTTTTAACTCGGGAACCAGAGAAGCTAAGAAACTGAAATTTTGAGGGAAGACCCGCTACCTAAGTGCGATCCCATAAACTAAAGTTACGTATTCGTGTGCGTCTGGGTTTCACATATGGTCAGGTGAGTTCCGACGCCTAAATTAATAAATAGCAACGCGCACCAGGGCAGCCCGTGCGATCATGCTTTTCGTGCAATTCCGTTCACTGAACGATTGCCTCCTAATGATTTTCATTGCTTTGCATTTTGATCTTTGCAAAAATAGTTGAAATGTTGTCTGGTAATTAAGTTGCGGAATTTCCCAGTAAAAATTTCGCACACACGAGATAATAACTTCTCTATCAAAATTTTCACGGGGCGGTACGTGGTGCTCACGGGTGCGTGAAGGCTGAATTCAAATTTGCGAGGTCGTATGTTTGTAGAGCACATCATCTTAAAATTTCAGATTCCCAATTTCCACGGTCTCCGAGATAATAAATTTCCCCGGCGAACTTTCACAGGGCCGTAAGTGATACTCGGACGCACAGGAAGGTTGAATTTAAAATTGCAGGATTGCATGTAGTCAGAAGACATTGCCGTAAAGTTTCAGCTCCCTGGCTTTTATGGTTCCCGAGATAATAATTTCCTCGCCGAAATTTTCACGGCCCCGTAGGTGACATCCGAGAGCGTAGGAATGCTGAATTTTGGTTTGTGAGGTCGTACGTGGGCAGGAGGTCATTACTGTAAAATTTCAGCTTTCTGGATTCCATGGCGTCCGAGATAATAATTTGCCTGCCAAAAGTTTCATGAGGCCGTATATGTTACCCGCGAGCGCGGGAAGGCTGAATCTAAATTTGAGGAAAGTCGTATTTGGCTTGGAAACATATCCATAAAATTTCAGCTTCCATCTCGGGAACCACTGAATTTTCGTGGTTCCCGAAATAATAATTTACCTGCCAAAGATTTTACGAGGCCGTAAATGATAACCGAGAGCAAGAGAGCGCTGATTTTGAATATGCAAGGTCGAGCACGGGTAAAGGGTAATTACCCAAAAATTTCAGCTTCGCAAATTCAGTGGTTCCCGAGATAATTTTTCCGCAAAAATTTTTACGGAGCCGTTCGCGTTACCCGCGGCAGGAGAAGGCTGAATTTATTTTGGGTCGCATGTGAGTCAGGGGCATACCCACAAAATTTCAGCCTTCTAGCTTCTGTGATTCGTGTGATAATAATTTTACTCGCCCAAACTTTTACGGGGCCGTACGTATTACCAGCGGGTACGGGGAAGCCGAATTTAAATTTGCGGGGTCACATGTGGGTGGGGACGTTCCCCTAAATCTTGAGCTTCCTAGCTTCTGTGACTCCCGAGTTGAAATTTGCGGACAAGTTGCTGCGGTCATACACACATACACACGCACATACACACAAGCGCACACAGACAACCCCGTGGCAATATGCGTTTTGTACTGCTATTAAACAGCACAAAACGCATAATAACTTGGGAAGCGCAGAAGCTAGGAAGCCGAAATTTTAGGGTAATTTTTCTTGCCCACGTGTGACTCCGTAAAGTTAAATTCAACTCTCAAATGCGTCCAGGTTTTGTTTGCGGACTCTTGAAATTTTTAGCATGAAAATTATTAATTCAGGTACCAGAAAGGCTAGGATGCTGAAATTTTAGGAGGGATGCCTGTATCTCACGTAGAGACACGAAATTTTTGGCGCCAAAATCAATAACTCAAGAGCCACGCAAGCTAGGAAACTGAAATTTCAGAATAATGTCCCTGCCGTCGTGTAAATTCAAACCCTGTACGTACCTGACTCTCGGGTGCGGATACGCAAAAGTTTTGGCGTCAAAATTAATAACTCGGGAATCACGAAAGTTAGGAATCTGAGATATTAGGGGAATATTCCCTGCACGCATACAACCTCGCGACTTTAAAAATTAGCTTTCACACTCGATCCGGTCTCACGTACGGGCACGTGGAAGTTTTGGCGCGGAAGTTATTAATTTGGAAGTTAAAAAGCTAGAAAGTTGAAATTTCAGAATAATGCTCCGTGCTAGCGCCATAAATTAGTCCCCGCGCGCTTATGTCTCATGTACAAAAAGGTAAAATTTTTGGCGGCAAAATTAATAACTCTAAAACCACTAAAACTTCACTTTTAACAGCAAAGTTACGCAGGACAGAGTTATATAAGCGTCAGCTGAACAGAGCTGCAGAGGCGTCCGCCGCACAAAAAGCATGGTCGAATCAGCTATCCAGGCGCGCTCCGCCATTTATCTACGCATGTTAAGGAAGGAAATATCGGATAAACCAAACAAAAGAGACGACTTTGCTTCTGTGAGATTTTGGAGGAAAGAACCAGAGGTGTAACTGTTGTATGAGTCGCAAGCTGCTAACGCAGTCCAGAATCTCACTAAACCGTACCCCTGAAATACTGTATACAAAGATACCTGCGCTTGAAGAAAGCAATAGCAAAAATGCGGGCGGACAGGCTTCTTTTGCTGTTCCACCATCATTGTTCGTGCTGTAGTCGCTGTAGCCTTGTTGGGTGCCAGCAACATCGTTATATTTTCCATTGATTAATTGAACATCGGTTCATATTCCCTTGCCTATGCGTTAAATTGAGCAAGAAATTTAATGGTGAGTGGTGGCTGACAAAAACAACTTACTCGTTTAAAATTAGCACCGTTTTTATGCGTTTTTGCTGTGCTGCGCTATGGCCAGCAAAAACACATATTGTCTTGAGGCTGTCTGTGTGTGTGTGTGTGTTCAGAAGCGAGTGTATTTTATCACCCACTTCATCTCAGAAACTAGGAAAGCTGAGATGCTGAAACTTTGGGTATATGTTCCTGCCCCGTGTGTCATCCTTCCGTTTCAAGATTTTCCTCCACACGCGCCTAGGCCTCGCGTACGCCCTCCCCCCCCCCCCAAAAAAAAAAAAA